AATTTTGCGTTTGTGTGTAGCGATTGCTGTTATCATTCCAATGAATGTTTTTTTTGCTGTGTTAAGTATCATGAATCCGATTATAAATGTGACAATGACTCAATTTTGTAGGCATTTTTCAATTATTTCATTAAGGCTTCTTTTAATCATATTTCCGTCAAAACTTTTTCCCATGTAAAATACCAAAATGGTAAACCTATAGTTTCATACATATGTTGACTCTAGCTGTGCTAGCCGATTATAATTACCTCAAGGATTAAGTTTTGTCTGCATTTTTTAATTTTTTGATTAAGGCTTCTTTTAACCATTTTTCCGTCAAAATATTTTCCATGAAAAATACCAAAATAGTAAACATACAGTTTCATAAATATGTTGACTCTAGCTGTGCTAGCCGATTATAATTACCTCGAGGATTAAGTTTTGTCTGCATTTTTAATTGTTTGATTAAGGCTTCTTTTAATCATATTTCCATCAAAATTCTTTCTCCATATTAACGATATGAAAATAGGAATTATTTAACTTTGCAATGCGCAGGTTCTCGCTATGTTTAAGGTTTTGTCCACACGTAGCCAGGTATTTTTCAAAAAACAAACGTTTTTTTCTCTGTTTTTGCCTCCCGTCCATACGTAACGGGCGTTTTCCATGACAAATACATGTGATTGTCTTTACTGTTTATTCTATCTAAGGATTGTTTTTTCTGCCAGTTCAAAATGTTTAAACATAATTTTGTGTTTGTGTGTAACGATTGCTGTTATCATTCCATTGAATTTTTTTTTTGCTGTGTTACGTATCATGAATCCGATTATAAATGTCCCAATGACTCAATTTTGTAGGCATTTTTCAATTATTTCATTCAGGCTTCTTTTAATCATATTTCCGTAAAAATTTTTTTCCATGAAAAATACCAAAATAGTAAACCTACAGTTACATAAATATGTCCATTCTAGCTGTGCTAGCCAATTATAATTACCTCAAGGATTAAGTTTTGTCTGCATTTTTAACTGTTTGATTAGGGCTTTTTTTAAACATTTTTCCGTCAAAATTTTTTCCCATGAAAAATACCAAAATAGTAAACCTACTGTTTCATAAATATGTTGATTCTATCTGGGCTAGCCGATTATAATTACCTCAAGGATTAAGTTTTGTCTGCATTTTTAACTGTTTGATTAGGGCTTCTTTTAATCATTTTTCCGTCAAAATTTTTTCCCTTGAAAAATACCAAAATAGTAAACCTACTGTTTCATAAATATGTTGATTCTAGCTGGGCTAGCCGATTATAATTACTTCAAGGATTAAGTTTTGTCTGCATTTTTAACTGTTTGATTAGGGCTTCTTTTAATCATTTTTCCGTCAAAATTTTTTCCCTTGAAAAATACCAAAATAGTAAACCTACTGTTTCATAAATATGTTGATTCTAGCTGGGCTAGCCGATTATAATTACCTCAAGGATTAAGTTTTGTCTGCATTTTTAACTGTTTGATTAGGGCTTCTTTTAATCATTTTTCCGTCAAAATTTTTTCCTTGAAAAATACCAAAATAGTAAACCTACTGTTTCATAAATATGTTGATTCTATCTGGGCTAGCCGATTATAATTACCTCAAGGATTAAGTTTTGTCTACATTTTTAACTGTTTGATTAAGGCTTCTTTTAATAATTTTTCCGTCAAAATTTTTTCCATGAAAAATACCAAAATAGCAAATCTACAGTTTCCTAAATATGTTGACTCTAGCTGTGCTTTCCGATTATAATTACCTCGAGGATTAAGTTTTGTCTGCATTTTTCATTGTTTGATTAAAGCTTCTTTTAATCACATTTCCATCAAAATTAAATCTCCACACGAATGATGAAAAATTTCTTCTTGCTTGTTTTCATAGTATAACGACAAGTTAAAAATTCCAGAGATAATAATTGTTAAGACTATAGCTATAATTTTTGAGACAGTTATGATACATAATATTTTTTCAAAAATTAAACTTACAATGACCTTGAACGTTATTTCACAATCTTAATTGGCGGTGCTTGAAGTACGTTAGGCCTGCAGACATACGAGTTAATTAACTGTTTTAATAATTTAATGTCTTCATTGAATCTAAAACACACGCATGCCAAGGAAATAATCGCTCCATTGGAAAATTACGGCTAACAATAGAGCCTATGTCAATATTGTGCATGTAAAAGAACTCACGCCAAAGTCTCACGCAATGTCTTCAGTAAACGGCGAATCTCTACCGTCTAGAATGCCTACACAAAACACAATTACACCAATTTTGAGTAATTGGAGTTGGAATGCAGTTTCAATGTTTGATATGACTTTAGAAAATTTAAGTTGTGATTTTGTTCATTGTTGTAGGCCAGTGTGAACACTGCCACCTATGGGTGATTCGTCCACCAAGCTGAAGGCATAAAGTCCACCTTTCTAAGGTGTAGGAAAGGCTAGTGGAATCCCTTGCCTTTTCAATGTCCTATATGCTTGGAAGTGAAATAAATAATATGCTTGCTAAATGTTGTATTCGTTTATTTTATGTAATGTCTATTGGTTTATACTCTAGATGTTTTGACGAAGAAGTAGACACATTTCTCGAAGATTTTTTTGAGTATGTCTTTTCATAATTTTTATCTTTTGAAAATTGATACAGTAGAACAGTCAGTAAGATTGATTTCATTTTATTTCACAGTGGTCGTTGCTAGTTTTTTTAATTAAAAATGTTATATATCAATAAAATATATTTAAGAATATCAACGTCTCATATTCTAATTTGTTATTTTTTTCTGTCAAAATCATTTTTCTCCAATCATTGCAAGTGTACTTGATAAGTTCTAGCCCATTTACTATCGGAGTCATGTCTTGTAAACTATCAAAGAAGGATTTCATGACCTTTTCGTCATCAATTTCTAATATTGCATCATCAAAATATATCGTTACCCTTTCATCATTCAGCATCATCAAACAATCGTGTCTGCTTTGTGAGGAGTGATCAACTCGACAACTGTCACAGTCTTTTGCCTCAAGCTTGTATATTTTAAAAAAAATTTCAGTAGCATAGCACTTTAACAATTTATTTTCTATATTGCTTTGGCGTCCATCTAAAACATGGCTCTCATCTTCAAATTCGAAGGATGATTCCTTCAGTTCTTTGCTTGCTGAATGTCAATTTTAAAGCCATTTTCGTTTTAGTTAGGCAAAAATTACCAAATAACTTTAACTCAATAAAATTGTAACGTGTTCTCATTTTCTATATTTGCTAAGGAAACAAAAAAACGGATATAATATTTCTTTAAGAATAGAAAACAATTGACAATTTTAATTAAGTTTTCTCATGTTTCAATTGATCATGTCATCCAGTAGCAACCTTCGTTCATTTTACGTGTTTCCGGTTTTAACGCGCGCGCGCTCTGTTTACTTCCTAGGCTGGAATCTAATTGACACGGGTAAGAGCTCCGTTTACAACTGGGACGATACCTGCACCATAACTTCTAAGGGCTGTTTTAAATATGCAAGGGATATTTCAAGATGGTCGTACAACAACCTTTAAACCCTTCTCCAACTCTATTGGAGAAATTATTTAGTGTCGATATCATACGATAGATGATCAGCGCTTTCGTCGTTAGGTAATAAACACTCAGGTCAAGCAGAATAATAAGACAAAAGGGACAAGGCAGATCAAGAAGGATATAGTCTTTAACTAACCAAAATAGGAACCTTACTTAAAACAGGAGCAGTTTAAACCCTAAACCTAAACTGGCTAGGGGAATCCAAATTTGCAGCTGATTTTCTCAATCTACAAATTTTAAGCTTTGACGAATCGTTTTTTATGATTTCTGAAGAACTATTAGACCTATTGACCTGAAGTTTTCACAGAAGATTTATAAGCATAAAAATTGTCCAAGGAACTAGGATCTTTGGGTTTGAACGTACCTAAACAAAGTACCCAGCCTTTTACTCATTAAACTTATGCCGTTTTTTTTATTACCTTATTTCAGTTTACATATTTTACCTGAAAGGATAGCCATATTAAGCTCATTCTAGTTACTTGCACATCCCAATGCTTCTTTATAGTATGCTAAAGTTTTTGGAACCATAACTAATATATAACTGCCAATGTTAAATTTCCTAATCTAAATTGTTATAACCCGGGAGTATCGTTACATGTTTGTAAATGTAGATCGTCCAGTTTGGTAAAGTCCAGAGAAGGACTGTTTTTCTTGTTGCTGACTGACGTTTCGACAACCTTAGTTGTAGTCATCTTCAGAGTCAAAAGAGGAGTAAACGTCAGGTTAGCCGTATTTGTCATCAGGTACTTACGTCATTCTATGGGTGTCAATTGTGTTCAAATTTAACGTCATATGGTGGTACTTTCAGCTCTTTTGCTGTTTCTTAGGCCAGTGGATGGATTTGTGCTAAGTTCGTAAAGAATAAGCATTCTTCTCTTTTCACCTTTCCCAAAAAGGCTTTACCTTGTTGAACAAGCTTGTCTGTAGACGGGAGTTTTCTCTTGCTTTTCACAACTATTTGTCAATATTAGCCGCCATTTTCAAGCATTGGATTGATTATTGCTCATTCTTCAAAGTTGCTTACTCGACAACATATAGTAAATTCGGAAGTCGGGGTCATGTAGCAATCAGTATCATCTTAATCCAAATTTGAAATGCAAAATATAGTTTTTTAAATTTTCGTCTTTACTTAATTAAGACGATCTACACAAAAGTCGTGACACATTGTCACACGCACTGAAGCAAGTTAACAGGAAATAGAAAATTAGAAATTCATAATACCTTGATGTTTGACTTCGTTGTGATTTCATTGTTATTTTTTTCCGGAAAAAAATTATTCATATTTGTGACATTTTTGCTGCAGGATTTATATTAGCTGGAGATAAATGTACTTGCAAAAAAATACGTCTAAAAAGTTTCTAATTAGTGAAGATGTCATTCAATGATGACGCATTACGCTTGGGATGCGAAAACAAAGAAAACGCACACACCATATCGACACAATACAAAGTTTTTTTGTTTAATTTGCACTTCGTTGGAGTCACAAACATTATTGGAGTCATACTTTTAGAGGGAACTCATAATATACAATATCAACGTCAAAGGTAATATAATTTTTGTCAAAAAGTATTCTTTTAGTTATTTAGGTAATGTCTTGTATTTTAACGATACATTTATATGATATATTTACAGTAAAGGCACTAGCAATTGGAATGTTATTGTGTTCTCTCATAAACATATTTATCTGCTGTTGTTTTACATTCTTCATATTAAATTAATGACCTGCATTACTGCATAGACTATGCCACGATTTTCAAGTTCAAATTCAATTTGCTGAACTTCATTTGAAACTAGAAAACTCGAAATAAAAACTGGTATGATTTAACCCTGTAGTATAATGCAACGATCTTTGTCTGGCTCAAATCGTATGCACAATTAAGCCTAGTTCGCGCATAGTTTAAATTATTGTATTTCTATTAGTGGTTGCAATGAATGTTTACAATAATGTTTACAAATATTAGAAGGGCGGATATTTGAAAAAATCGTTCGTTTTGTAAAGAAAACACAAAATTTAGCGGAGAGGAATCTTATATTGTACTTTTAATCACCGTTTCAATATGATCGCTCCTTTTGTAAGGATCCGTCTTTGTCGCTTAAAATTTGTAGAAGCAACAAAGACGATCATATGGAAAAGCCCTACTCTGACGACAAAAGTGATCCTTACGTTAGAAACCGTCATTGCATATTGACCTTCGAGTTATAGATAGACTCGATGAATCCTATCTTTCCTATATCAATGACCGGAATCACCTCTTATGTGCGTATATTTTGTAATTGAAACGATTATGTCAGAAGCTACTTGATCCACTTGATATATTCCTTGATACCTCCGTATTTCAATGAGGGTAATTCCGAATTGAAAAATGGCAGCAAGAAACTTCAATTCTACCACTTCATTTATGGAAAAATTAGAAATTTATGATTGTTTAAATAACAAATTTTTAAAACATTAAAAAAATAAGCAAAGGGAAAACGTAAGGGAAAAAACTCCGGAAAAATTTGGACTTCATTAGTTACTGAGAAGAAGAAATTTGGAGCAAGCCATGTTCGTTTTCTTAAAACAATTAAAAACGTTCCTTCTGGCTCTGGAATGGACGTTGTTCCGAAACCTGGGAAATTTGTTCATTTGGAATATCTAAATCAGCACATCAATCTCAGGAAAGCTCATCAAACCTGCCCAAAAAAAAAAGTAACAAAGAAGAAGAGGTATTTGATAATGAAGATATGAACACCGGCTCTTGTTAAAATGCCCGAATAGATCGTAATAACTTAATAGATGTGGATGTACATAATACTGTCTGTCCGAAATCTTACATTGCCACAACTCTGGAATCAACAAGCCCTAGGGATTTAGATGAGACATCTCTAAAAAATAAATCCTTCAGGGGCCGATCCAAAGTGTTATCGAAGTTGCATGGCAACAGTCAGACATGTGATACATATACATTAAGTTATGTGCTATATCATACGCTCAGCTCAAAAGTGCAGTAATTAAATTTCTTGCATTTTAAATATAATTTGATACACATCCGCAGAATGACCTAAACAAAGAAAAAAAAGTTAATAGAATTATAAGTACATGTAAATTTGTATTATTTGTACTAGCTATAGGGAAGAGCCCGCGTTGGTTAATTAGTTTGCGAGATTTGCACAAGTATGTACCGAGTATCTTTTTAGGTTTTGAAAGGAGTTCTTTGATCTGCAACCACTCTTTTCGGGCAACAGTCAGCAGCCTTTTTGTTGTTAAATTTAGCATGGTGGCAACAGTGTGGTGTTGCTAGCGAATCAAAAGTCGCTATTCTTATCAGATGACAATAGTTTAGAAACAGTGGGGAAGAGATTTCCCTGAATTATTGCGAAATCTGAATCTTTACGCAAAAAACTCATAAGCTGTACGATGTAATGTGAAGAAAATGCAATGTTTTGCTTATGCTTCGATAAACATCTTTTACAACAACTATAGAAAATTGAAGAGATATTTCTCCGCCAAGCAAAATCATGTTAAATAGTTGAAGCTTTTCAATTTCTTCAAGAGCAATGTGTAAATCATTTGTAGAATCTGTGCAGGCGGATCATTGATATTTTATTTGATTTTTTTTTTTTGGGGGTTATATTGTTCACAGTGGCGTAGCTAGGAAAAATAATAACTCCCGCCCATGTCGCGCCTGTGGCCCCGAAAAGTTATGAAATCCAGAGCCTTGAAAACAGAATTTCCTGCGATTTGGTGGGCAAATTATTTGTTGTTCAATAAGTAATAAAAACTTGTTTTACAAGCTTCATTCTTAAGGTAGGTATTATCGAAATTGTATTGAACTAGTTAAAAAAGTACTAAAGATGGCTCAGAGAAATGTTAAGCAGGAGACAATTGTCGCCTAAAGCTTAATGAATCAAGCTCATCACTGCCCATAAATAAACACAAGAGTTTTGGAATAGCACAAAAAATAACATAGTAAACAACACTTCCTAAAATGCATAGGGAGAGATTCTCCTCAGCATTACACTTGTTAGTTTCCACTTGTTTAGATTGAGGCAGGTAGACTTGGATGGCTTTCTTCTTTTAAGTTATGCTTAATTTTCTCAATTAATTACCATGCTTTATAAGTACAAATATCAAAACACATACTATATTATCATTGAAAAAGAAAGGCCAACCTCCTGGGTTTTTCTACAAAATTTCAACAGCCTCCTTATGCAACTCCTCTGAATCATCTTTTTTTTCTATGATATCTTTGTGAATAGATATTCTACACAAAGAGCCAAGTCAACCTTGACTCATTCTATTCCTCAAATAGCTTTTTACTCTTTTTAAGCAAGAAAATGACCTCTTTACTGAAGCACTTGCAACTGCCAATTCAATGTTACATTCAATTTTAACAAATTTGCAACTTGACGTAAACTCAACTGGAGATTAAATTTTTAGATGTATGATGTATTTAAGCACCTTTGCAATCTTTGAGAAAGTCACTGTCGTTGCAAATTGACTCTCCAAAGTTGGGATGTTAAAAAGAGGACAATACTTATCTTTAAGAAGACTGATCTTCTCCTGAGGAACTATGCCCTTCCATGTATTAAATACTTTAGGATTTACAAGATCTTAAAACTCGAATTGATTAATATTTTGAAATCGTTGACTTAACATGTCTTTAATGGAATAAAATATCTCAAAATAAAGCTGTTTGTAATTGTATCAACTATCTACTCTGGTTGCTGGTGGGCCTACTTTTCTAGTGCAGTTCAGTAAAACTCAGTGCAAGCTTGATCTATGCAAAGTGATAAAATAAACTGCTTTTAACTGTCAATCTTTTTATGCCATAATTAAAATGGATTGCTCTATTTTAAAGAATGGAACGCAAAATTGTAGACTGTTCTAAAAACTTGTAAAAGACATTCACTAGAAAACAAAAGAGAAAGCTATCAATATAGTGTAGTCAGCCGCTTATTTTACTTAATGATTCACTATCTCACCAGATGGCTGGTCAAGTACCCTCTCAAAAATATCTAAAAGCTTTTTTATGCTGTTTTTGCAATACATCGATTAATCGAGAGTGATAATACCATCTTCTTTCACCCGGAGCAAAAAACTCAGGGTTGTTTGATGTGAGAAAAGCTTTTCTTTTTTGGGACATTGCTTTTAAATTTGCTTAAACTACTTATGTTTATGAAAAAGATTTTAACAGGAGAAATTGATGAGGATAACTGTCATCCGATCATGTTCAATCTATGAGCTGCAGATTGAACAAAATAACAAAAATATCTTCTTGTCGAACCAATGCTTGAACACCATTGATATGGCCAGACAAGACAGAAGCACCATCATATGCTTGCAAAACCAGTTTTTTTTATATCAGAATACTCACCAAGATTATCTTTGACAACTTGTGATGCTTCTGTGGCATTTCCGTTCATACTTAAGTTCCAAATCCTAAATGCCTTCTATAATTTCACTTGCTTTATTAAACAGAGCAATAACACTTAGCTGCTCTTTGATGGACTCTTCAGATGCTTCAACAACTCCAATACTAATAGATGTGAAATCATTTATTTCCTTTCTGATTTCATCCTCTACAATGGAATCAAGACAGCTGATAAGATCATTTTGAATTTCTGGGAAGACTCCAGTATATCTTCTCTCACCAACTATATCAGATTCTGCTAGTCTACTATACAGTCGGCGCTCAAACACAAAATAAACTTAGCACAAAATTCAAGCAACTCCATATAGTTACCTTGTTTCAAGGTACATTTGGACTCATCGTGACCTCTAAATGGCAACTCTTGCTTTAAACAAATACAGCACTGCCTCTGTAACAGTTTATAAATATTCTTGATTTTGTCTTACCTTCTCATTGTGATGCTAATTCTCGTTTCTTCTAGCTAGGGACGTATGACAATCAATTCGTTCACTAGTTCCATGCGTTTTCCATGTCTTAAAAGCAGTCATATGCTATTTACATTTCTCATGCTTCTTACCATCAAACGTAATACTCGCATGTCGTTGTAGCCATACTTAGTCCATAATGAATATGTTTATTGACCAGGCCATCACAACACTTTCTGCAGGGTTGTACTGCCACACAGTCAGTATTTCGTTTCACACCACTTTCTCTGAAATGCTCGTCCTTATTTGGTATTGTTGAATGAGGAGTAAGCCGTTCATAAATGATAACATTCTGCTCGACCGACGATCGAGCAGAGAGAGAACGGTGTAGCTAATAAGCTATTTACTAAATCAACATTCCTTGAGCGAATCGTTGTCGCACTTAAAGACATTGTGTCTTACACAATAACAAAATAGCAATTTAAGAGCAAGCACAATAGAAAATTGTTACAGGCAATGATCTCGTAATTTGATAATCACTAACGCTGATTTTAACTCGTTTTAAATATTTGACTAATTAAAACCTCCGCCAATTTAAAATAGGGTGAGTTCGACTATAAAAACAGCAGATTTCAGCATCCGCCAAGTTCCTTGGCCAATCAGAATCCAGAACTTCTTCTATAGAATTGTGTTGTATGTTCCGTTATCTCAAGACAGTCGGAATAC